AGCTGATTTTAGGGAACTTCTACAGGTATTTTAAAGTGTATACTGGTGCATCGTTATACACGCTAAGAAGTTTATTAAATTTCTAATGAAATATGAATTTTAGGAAACAAAACTGATTACTGATAAAACATATAAGAAAGTACAAGAAAATAATTCACATTTAGCGGAAATTGAAGAAATTTTAAGGAAGGATCGAAGATTTCTTGTGTTGGAAGCAGCTGCTGCTGAGCGAACTCGTTTGTTAATGGGTTATCTAGAAGAATTGGCACGTAGGGGTCCGCCTCCACCACCCACAGCCTCAGAGCCATCACGAAGACCAACAACAAAGTAATTATTGTGTTCAGTGAACGGGGAAGAACATGTTTACGGGTGTTTAAATTCGGGGGGTTTGTTTTTGTTCTAGTTAACAAGGGCCACATCAAAGCATGGTATACATATGGTGTCGAAATAACAAATCAGTGATTGAATTTATAGCTGTAGTTGAATTGAAGTACTTTACACACGAGATGATTATCGCCTGTAATTATAGGATTCAATAAAACTAACGCCAATTCTACACAGCTAATAATGTGAGTGTCATACTGTAAAGATGCCATAGTGTAAGCATATCATTATTTGTTGGATTATGTTAAATAGATACCAATTAGAAAAGAATTATTAAGAATATTATGTAGTAAAATCATAAAGTACGTATTTTATACATATTTTATCTAGGTTTGTTACGTAAGCACCCTATTATGAATATTTTGTATGAAATATTACACGAGAATTGTGACGAGTTCTAGGCTCTCGCCTAGTTTCAAAACAAAATGCATTGAATTTCTATAAAGCAACGTTAAATGTAATATCTCGAAACTGTCATTCTTGTACCTAGAAAAAAAGCATAATCATGCGACAATCACGCACGATATATTTGCGGAGCTCAGTTCGGAAATTATAATTTAAAATTTTCAAAATGTTTCCCTTGCACAGCTTTGTTGGACAATGAGACGTAAGTATCTTACAAAATATCCTTTTCTGAAATTGTCATGAGAAATACATGTATGTGAAAAAGTTAATACATTATTTAGGTGGCATTTTTACAATATAATAATTGTTAAAAATTCCAATATGAATTTCCCAATAATCTGTAACACTGTATATTTTATAGTATTTCATTACAGAGTTCAGTTTTACATGATCAATGAAGGATATGTGCAGAGTAATTTTGTATGTGACTACAAACTATTTTTATTTTGAATCAAAGATGTTCAGTACACTCTACATAAGTTACACAAATGAATTTTAATCATTCAAACATATTTTTAATTCAATAAACGAACAATTAAAATGCAATTTTCGGATTATTTAAATTTTGTTCACTTAGCTCATAAATGACATTCACATCCTTTAAAACTGATATAATGGCATAGTATATTTTGGTTTTTTTGGATTTGTATTATCGATTTCCTACAACCAAAAAGATATTTTTCAATTTCTTCTGAATTTACATGTTATTTTATAATGTTATGAAATATTTATACTTATTAAATTTGTTGTATCTGTGTGTACATTTATGTAGGTAATTAAGAATACTTACAGATTTGTTAACGTTATTCCTGCAAATATGTTTTGTTGTCACGAAACGGAATACCGTGCACGAATGTGTATTGTATATCTTTATCTTTGCAGTTAGAATCAGGCTTGGCATGATGCATTTCCTTCTTGCTATTCCGGTAAGAATAAAAATTGGCAAGTTGCTGTAGTAGTAGGTCAATAATCGAGTCTTGCGTTTAAAAATTTCGCGTCATAAATAAATAAATGTGTACTTACATAGTGCACACGTTTCTCCAAAAATTCCTTGAAAGTTTCAGTTGATTTAGCTATCATATTCGATACGTAAACGATGCTAGACCTATTAAAGACTCAACGAATCTAGACGTTGTTTCTATCTCAAGGAAAAAATGACGGATATTTGACACATCAAAAATGTCATTAAAAAAAATCGTAAGTCAGAAATTACTTAGTTCAACTAGGGGACAATTTATATATACAATGATAACGCATTAGTTGTTCATTGTTTATTCAAACAATAATCTGTAAAGCTAATTCTTCGAGATGCTATTTTTTGATTACATTTTAAAGACATTTTAATGTAAACAATTAACAGAACACTCACGCTTTTTATTATTTTTGCTTATTTAACTACAGATTTGAAAGTTTCAATGACTTCTACAAGTATATATCATTCACATGCTATACACTTTTCTGAGATCCGAATTTAAAATGGTACATGTTCTAACAAAGACATTCAGATCGTGATCTAAAAAAAGGAAACTGTAATCTTATGATAAAATAGAAAGTATTTACATTCATGAATAAATTTTGTAAATAGTTTTGTAGAGTAATGTGATTTATTTTGAATAAGAAACGAGCCCCGCGTCGTAATGGAACAAATTTTTGTCAAAGTGCTTCGTTTGATTTCCTCCGTACCTTTAATCCTTTTTTCACCGAACAATTCGAATTCATTTTGATAATAAATTCTCCAAAACGAAACAATATACGAGGGTATACCGTTTTCCGGTGATACCTGCCAATTTTTTTTTACAACGCGGTGACAATAAGTTTTAAATTTAACATTCATTATGTCTTTCATATATTTCCTATACAATATTTTCTGCGCCGCAACCGAAGCTTTCTAAATCAATATATTTTTTAAATATAATTAATTAGTTCTATTAAATTTATTATTCGATTTGTTTAATCAATTTATTTAAATTTATTATTTAATCATTTTCTTAATTAGTATTATTATTTAATTATTTAATTTAATTAATTTTATTATTTAGTTTAGTATATGTTTTTAATTCATTCAATTTAGATTATGAATAATTAGTTGATTTCTTTCTTCGTTTCCCGGATAAACACGTGTCTAACAAAAGAACAATAGAAATTCATAACAAATTCGAATAGGCTGTCACCGATGTTACCCTAACACGGTGATGATCCATCGGATCATCGTCATCATCGATTGCGTCACATTACTTTCCCCGGCTATGCCGACCTTGCTCGTCTTTTCCCTTTCGAGCCCGTTTGGTTTCTGGCCGGATGTGAATCAGTTCAAGCCAGGACGGATTATTCGTTCGTAAAGGTGGCCCGTGACGGACAAAGGTCAACGGACACGCGCCCGTGCGGCGGGGATAAAATCGACTCGAAACTAACGGAAAGGAAAAAAAAGAAATATTTGCGAAGGTCCTGACGAAGGACGCGACTGTGTTATGACATTCTTGGGCCGGATTCCCGAGGACACAAAGGGAATGATAAAACTCTGATAAAAACACGGTATTTATGTTCTGCTCGTAAAGTGTGCGAACCGATGGAAAAAGGAGCTCCATCGATCCGGGATTGTCCCCGAATTTCATGATTTAATCTGGAATAAGACGAAATCTATTGACTTTACGCGTTTCGAACGACCGATTCAAGTCACCTCGCGGTACAATACGACACGAGCCAGTCTTCTCGGGAGAATCGAACAAGATGCAGCTGAAAATGCGCATATAAATTTTTCCGATTCTGTTTAATACTAAGACAACCAAGCGTTTAACATGATTAATATGTAGTATTACAAAAAATTCATATAAGAATGATTAAATAGCTTTTAATTCATTCATTAATATAAAGCGTAATATGTAATTCTTATAAAAATTGTAACAATAGGTTTTTCTCAATTTCCCCATATATTGTGATTATAGTATTTAAGTGGAGAAGTATTTTTTAAATCATTTTGTATGTTTAATGGTTTTAACTGTGTATTGCATTCCGTTCCCAATCGGAAAATTAACTTCGGGTGTTCTATAGTAGAATAAGTTAAGCAACACTTCGAGTTGTGAGTATGTTGGTATGCGTATGAAGCGTCCATATGGGAATAGTTGTAAAATGTAGTAAATAACATAATCTCATAGTAACATAATAACATAATTTCATTATCATTCATTTAGTTATTAAATATTTTAAATCTGTCAGTGAAATATATTTATTGAGTTTTTGGAAAATAATATAAAGAGGTAGCTATTATGCTTAAGTATAGTAACTGCTATGTTTATTAAGTTAGCAGGTTTGAATAGATGCAGTGTAAATTTAATTGAACATGAAGATATTTATACACTGGTATAATTTTGAATTTTAATTACAAAGAGAGGTATTGCAATGTACAAATAAGTGAAAAATGAAACATCTGTTAATTTATTATTAAATTATTATGGTTTTTGGTTTGGTGCTGTTCACTCACAGACCTACCTCAACCCCACCGATGTTAAACAGATTGCCGTAGTCAGGCGCATCTAAGCCGCATCGTTTGATCGTTCATTATTTACGACAAAAATCCTATTCTTAGTTCATGATTTTTGTATAAATATTTTTTCAAGAATTTTAAAAGAATTTCATGCTTATAGTCCCAAAATTTCCTCTCGAATTTCAATCTTTATCTCAAATCAAATTCTTACTTCAAAAAAACTTACAACCGAGAAAGTGAAGACGCTTAATTCAAAGAAAATCAAGAAGCTCTTGTTACCAAAGTTGCTAAAGTCATCTTCTTTCCTTCACTGAGGATGTAAAGATTTCCCCTCGTGCCCCAAAATTTCTTCCAAATTCCGAATCAAATTCTCACTTTAGAAAAAATCTCAACTAACAGAGCTAACACACCTACTTCAAAGAAAGCCAAAAAAGCCCCTGTTACCAAGGTCGCTAAACCCACCTTCGCATCCACAGAGGGTGCAAACTCGGTATCCCAAAACGCCCTGATCCTGCGGCTGATTTTTCACTGAATCTCCGTGTCCCTTCGACCCGTGACAAAGAGGCGTGCGTGTGCATCCACACATACGTATGCAGGAGGCGAGAGGCGACTGGGGACCGAAGGAAAGAGAGGGAGAGAGATCCCGATGGCCTCGGCGTGCCAACTCCGCCTCGCGAGGCGCGCGGCCACCAAGTGAAAGTGGGATTTTGCTTTCTAGTCGTGGCCAGTGACAAGCGCGCCGTGCTCGAGTGAACGTGTCTCGTTTTCTTATCCGTGTGCGAGGATGCTGGGTCCGTTCGTCGTTCGTCGATAAATCGTTCGCCGTTGTCGACGTGATGAACACCGGAATCTGAGGACCCGAGCCGAAAATCCAGCGGGACCGCGTATCCGGACGATGACGGTGATATTCTGACTGTTGGGCGACACTGCCGCCGAGACCTAGCCGCGTTCTTGCGAAAGGTGCCGATAGTGCGCGAGTGCCTGGTTCCGAACACCGACAGCCTCAAGGGAAAATGTCGAGGCGCGAAGGGAACGTCGGCCGGCCCTTCGAACCGATCCCGACTTGCCTGCTCCTGTTCTGCTGCTGTTTCGTTCTTGTACGCTGTCAACAGGGTATGTTTCCTAGGGATTGAAAGGGTTTTGAAAATAATTGTTTAGAACTGTTACATGTCGGCGCAGACTGGAACTGTTGTAGAGAAATGAAGTAGAGTTGCAACTGTTACTGAGTGTATCGGTTGTCAGCTATATTGATTTTGGTTCTGAGGAACTATTATTGTATATTTAATTCTAATTCTAATTAGAATATTTATAATATTATGATTCAGTTATTGTTATAATTAATATATTTCGATTCTCCATAACTGCTTCAAGGACCGGATCCGATATCACAACTGTTTTCAAGCCGTGACGTTTTACTATTAACGCGCGATGCACTGTTTCGAAACTGCTGCAAGCCTCCAGAAGTCTAAGATTAACTAATCTCGTCCGCGACGCGATTTTCCGCGGCACGAATCGCACGTGCGATCTGTTCTCTTAACACTAGGTTTACGGAACGCGAACATTTTCTTGCATATTGAATTTTGTAAACATTACTTGGTCAACATTTATGTCGGTTTTGATTGATGCAATGCTTCCTTCTTAAGTCCTTAATTTCCAAGATCTAAACGACCATCAATTGTTCTAGGAACAATAGAATAATCCGTGCAATAAACACTCGTAAACCTAGTGTTAACGTCTCCATACATGTCGAAACACGCGGCGATGTAGGCATCGCTACAAGCGATGGGTTTGAGTCTTTTTCACTTTTTGTTTGAGTGCAACATGTACCATGAAACCATGAAAGACCTAAGCCCATCACTTGTAGCGATGTTTGCACTGCAGGTTTCAATTTTAGGCCAAATGCCCACAAATTCGCAGGAAAATGTCGTAGCGATGATTGTTTTGGAGTATAAGGAAACAAAGTTCTCCTGTCCCACGAAAAGAAGCATAAGAGAATCTTACGGCTCTATTCTTCCAAAAACAATCGCAGCTAAGACATTTCCCCGCGAACCGCTCGTGTACATTTGACCTTATCCTGGTCAGCTGGGATCCCCGTGACGTATAATAGTTCAAATATATTTTTAATTCTATTCCTGTGACGTATTTTAGTTAACGGTAATTTAGGAAAGGAATGATTACAGTATAGCGACAGATGGAAAGTGACGTCTTCGGTGAGCAATCGTTCCCTCTTTATAAAAGTTCCTTGTTCACGATTACACATACCGTATTCATTTTCTTAAGGTTTGCTTTCGCGCATGACACCGTGTATACCGTTGAAAGTGGAGATAATTGATTGTGGTTTTGTTTCTCTTACTTCGATTAAACCAAAAATTGTTCCCCAACTATCAAATCTTTCTAAAATAGATTCTTTTAACTGTATATAGGCATGTGTGACTTTGAAATCATCATAAATATATTCAACGTCATTCTAATTTCAAAATTACAAGGTATATTCGTTAATATTGATATTTGTTAATTTTATACTAAGTACATTTGCTTATAGTCGCGAAAAAACATTCGCCCTACAGAGGGTTAATTCGATTGATTCTCTGATTGATTTTTTTTTATGAACTCGGGGGCATTTTCAATGCAGTATTAAATTCTACATGTGCAAAGTCTTAACAGAAATAATCTTCGGAAACGAATCTTCAACGATCTTTGAGAGACTGAAAAGCGATCCCAGGTGTGCCGGAGGACACCGCATCGCGTCTTACGGTAACGCTGCTCTTTTCCAGTATCGTCTTTCGGGAGTGGCGGCAGTGAGGTGAACAACTATTTTGTCGGACACAATATACTCCATTTCGCGTTCTGTGCGTCTGGTAGCGCTGACATCACGCGACACCGCGATCCTTTCACGGGTACAACGCGGAGGAGGCTCGAACGTCCTCGCGGAGCCGCGTCACGGATTTATGGGATTCCCTTGTTGAACTTTTGCCGCGTATTTTTCGGTTGCTCGTATACATGCATTTTTGGACCTTATACTTTATGAGATTGCGACTAAAAGACCTATTAACCAGTTAACTGCATTTGACGAGTATACACGTCATCTTAACCCTTTGCACTCGATTTATTTTCAATGTTGTTGCGTCTAAACTCGTATTTATTTTCCGGAAAATGAATTAAAGTAATTTACAGCGGTAGAATTCGACGTTCTATACTTATTTTATTTATCATTATTATAAAAATTAAATTTTATAATTTATAGCGATAGAATTCAACGTTATATATTTATTTTACTTATTATTATTGTAACAATTAAATTTTATAATAGTAATAATAAATAAAATAAATGTAGAACGTTGAATTCTACCGCTGTAAATTACAGTAATTTATTTCCGTAAATATAAATACAAGTTTACACTTAACAACATTGAAAGTAAACCGAGTGCAAAGGGTTATAGATACCAATAATTGCCAAATAAAAAACTATAAATCCGCCATTTTGACTGTTATAGTAGTTCTACTGTTAAGATATCAATTTGCGATCACTTGCTCGCACTCTTTCCCATCAAATCGAAGGTGTGAAAACACACGGTGGTCTTGACATCTTATTTTGGGACACCCTGTACAGAGCATTACCGGTTGATTCACGATCGGGCCACGGAGTTTGTTCAACCGTGACCGTTCGAAACGTTCCGTACGATTTTGACGACGCAACACGGGTGGACGTCGGGTAGGTGGTATTATATTCGTGTAATCCGCTCGGTTGTCGCTGTGTCGCCGTCACGATCCGCTTGCCGCAGCCTTTCCGAAAGCTTGATTCCGTATTCCCCGTGTTTCTTTATACCCGATGGGCGTGAAATGTTAATGCGTCTGCGATGAAAATCGAAATGAAAGTATTGTGATGAGACTGGATTGTTTCGACGCGTCACCAGCATTTCTTTCGCTGGCCTCGGTTGATCGTGATATTTTATATTAACACGGTGAATGCCGCACGATTCCATAGAGCAAAATACACGAAATGGAAAGAATACAATATTAAATCATTTGATAGAATTGCATTATTATTATTGCATATTCGTCAAGCTGAATGTCACCGCATTAGATAGTAGTATTTATAATATAGAAATGTTTACAAATAATCATCGTTCGATTGAATGAATTGTAGTCATTCGATCTTTGGGGGTCACCGGTGACCCCCACGGCATTCAACGTGTTATCCCCTTGCCCCATGATTTATTTCTTAGCTATGATCGACGAAACTACTTTATCGTTAATAATTTATTGGGAAAAGATACAATTTTTATGCTTGTCCTACGTCTACGTTGACGTCAAAGGTTAACAATTAAATTTCTCAAATTCAGTTTGAAATTTTCGTCACGGGTCTGACACGATGTTGTAGGTTAACCCTTAGCGGTCGAATGTCGCCGTAATGGCGACTCGGAGTTTTCATATCTCAAAACGAAAGCTGTAAATAAATAATGTTGTTATTCAAATAACGAGGAATTAGTTTTGAGAATAGGATTAGGATGTCGCATAGATTGATACGTGATTTTCTTGTTTTTTAATACTTATGAGTTCGTTAGATTTTCAGTCCTTATATGGAAAGAGTTTCGTTCGAACATTCGTTCGCAGAGTGTTAACCCGTTTGCATCATTAACACTAGGTTCATGGGCATTTATTGTACAATTTATTCTATTGTTCCTATACAAGTTGCTGTTTGTTCATTTGGATCTTGGAAATCAGAGGTTCAAAAATAGACAATTACGATACATATTCGTGCAATTGCATCGATTAAAACCGATCTAAACATTTATCACATGGTGTTTATAAAATTCAATATGCGTCAAACTGACGCGTCGAGTAAACCTAGTGTTACGCACTTATGTGGTTTACATAAAAAAGCAATCGACCGTAAGTATAATAAATAAATGGAATACAAGTGCAAAATTTTAATGACACTGATGTTTAGCGTTTCTCGTGTAGGTTAAAATGATTAAATTTAACTTGAAACAATTTTTAAATTAATTTTTCAAATTATCTCTATTCTACAATCAAATGCAATTTTATACCTACATCTTCTTTTCTGGTCACTCGTTTATTTGTGATTTCTAATTCTAATGGTCAATGTAAAATTCATGTCGAATCGTTAGGTTTTCTAAATTTTCTTAATACCGCCTTTCAAAGATTTATTTCGTGGACCCTTGAAAAATGGAGCGTCCCGTTAATAAGACGAAGGATGGATGACCATCGCGCAACGCTGGTTTGCATTCCCGGGCCGGCGTGCACGGCACGCAATACAATGGAACCGCGATTCCATACGCAAGTTACGTGTGCCGCGATAACGCAATTGAATCTCCATTGTTGGGCGTAATAACAAGACGACCGGCTATCACGATTTCCTAAAACGGATACATCTGATTCGACATTGTGGCCGACGTAAAGTAGAATTAAAATTGATGCAATTTGCGTATTTTATCCCTTCATTATTATCCATTGTACGGGAACTATGGAGGATATCGAGAGAACTGTAAATACAGAATTGACTTCTATAAATTTCATTCGCACATATTTATGTTTATTTGAACTTCTTAAAATCCGAATTGTTGTAAATGGTTACGAAATCTTTCGATGAAGCGTGAATATTTGAAACGGGAATTTATTTAATATTAACATCATTATGTAGACACTGATCTGAATGAAATTTAATTTTTGAATTTTTAACTTATCAGTGTTTAATTTTTCAATTTTTCAGATTTCAATTTTCCTTTTTAATTTGCATTTTATAGTATATATATATATATATATATATATATTTTGCATTTTTCGTAAAGGAAGTCAAATCAGTTTCACTTATCTCATTATTTAAAATCGTTGCACACGATGTCGTCCAATTAAGGAAATCAATAATCTTCTCTTAGTTATACATTCTTCGTATTCACTGAGTGTGCACATTACATTTTCTTATTCCGTCCAATTAAATTTCATTTCGTTCGTTTCACTTGATTCTGGCGTAATTACTTCATTAGAATCACAGATTGAAACAGTTGGAGTAAAAAGTGCAGATTTGCAATGCAAAACGCGCGCAGTGATAGCGAAACTTTACATGCTTTCTTTTTAATCGCGATCTCGGA